TTGCAGTCAGGTGAATCTCATTGTGAGAGGTTCAAATGCGACATCAAGTAGGGCTTTTACGGCGGTGGTTCTGGCTTTGGAATGACAGGACTCAAGACACAAATCAGCTACCATGTCATGTTATTGCTACAGTTGATTACTGTTTCGAACTGTCTTTCAGGAGAACCGTACTCTCAGACTCTTGCCAAAGGCTTGATGCTGATATTTTTCATACTAGTTGCAGCTGTCCTGAGTGATCCTTGGAGGAGAATCCACAGAGCACGGAATAAGAGATGAATCTTCAGTTACCCAGAATAAAGCCAGCATTTAGTTAATGCTTTTCTATACTTTTAATATGTGGTACTGGATGGAAAGAGACTTTTAAAAAAATGTATATTTTTCTAAGGGCAAAAAATAAAAAGATAAAGTATTTGCAAAATGACAGCTGTGTTGTGATTTTGTGAAACTGAAATAAGAATCCGCACTGGACTTTGAAGTTTTCTGGGTAGCCTGGAGCCAGTTGCTGTCTCTTGGCCTAACGTACCTTACAAGGTTGTTGTGAGGAGAAAGTGGGGAGAAAGAGAACCATGTATCCCACTCTTGAGCTCTTTGTAGGTGAAACAAACCATCTAATTCAGATTTAAAAGGAAGCTAATTGGATCTGTATTTTTAAAATTTGGAATCAGCCTGTGTACACCATTAAATAAAACACTGCATTTGGATCCCTAGCGCAGAGGCTACATCCAAACTAAGTAAACTTGAAGAGGCTTTCACTCTCATTGTATTTTATTGCTTTTCCAGTGCAGTCTACATTATCCAAATATTACAGCTTGGGGGTCGGGTTGTGGCTAAGAAAGAGAGCCTAATGGCAGCATCACAAGGTAGTCTGCTGTTAAAATTGCAGGTTAGCAAGATCAGTCTGCAAGACAGAGATCCAGCTCGCCTATGCAAAACATCTTTCAGGTTCCAACAGCAAAAAGTAAATGCTCTCATTCAGCTCAAATCCAAAAGGCATTTGGGACCTTCTGCTGAAGGATAATAATAATAATAATAATAATAATAATAATAATAATAATAATAATAATAAGAAGAAGAAGAAGAAGAAGAAGAAGAAGAAGAAGAAGTTGTGCTGCATTGCTTTGCACTGAAATGGCTTGTGCTTTTAAATCTGCCTTGGGTACTTACAGTAAAGGGCAGATAATAAAATGAATGTTTAAAAACACTACCCCACCAATATTTTTCATCCGCTGGCAGTTTAACGCTATGGTCTACTCAAAAGTTAAATACAAGGGAATTTACTTGTTACAAAAGAGCATTCCTAAGACAGCCCAGAATGTACCCTCTGTGTGAGTCTACCTTTATAAAGTTTGTGGATTCCCACTTAGCAGCAGGCTCAATACCTTTCAGGCCCCAGAAGATGGAATGATGGCTTTAAATACTCTGTGCTCAGCTAACATCATGATGTCATTAAACACATCTCTCGCTGTGACTAGACATGTGCAAAACTGCTGCCATAGGAACGCTGTGAAGCTAGCAAGGCCTGAGTTTTTATTTACAAAGGTACAGTGGTGCCTCGCAAGACGAAAAGAATCCGTTCCGCGATTCTCTTCGTCTTGCGTTTTTTTCTTCTTGCGAAGCAACCCTATTAGCGGCTAAGCGGATTAGCGCTATTAGCGGTTTAGCGGCTTAGCGGCTATGAAAGGATTAGCGGCTAAGCTGCTAAAAGGCTATTAGCGGCTTAGCGGCTTAGAAAAAGGGGGGGAAAGGCAAAAAAAAAAAATTCGCAAGACTTGCAAGACGTTTTCGTCTTGCGAAGCAACTCAGAAACGGAAAACCCTTTCTTCTAGCAGGTTTTCCGACTTGCGAAGCATTCGTCTTGCAGGGCACCACTGTACCGTATTTTTCGCCCTATAGGATGCACTTTTCCCCCTCCAAAAATGAAGGGGAAATGTGTGTGCGTCCTATGGGGCGAATGCAGGCTTTTGCTGAAGCCTGGAGAGTGAGAGGGATCGGTGCGCAATAAAATGAGGGGTCGGTGTGGGAAAGAAACAAAAAATTATTGGAACAGAAGACCCCTTGGTGGCTATCGCCAATTGATATCCTGACAATAAAAAAAACAAACATCGAAGGAGAAAGATGGACCTATGAAGACTTGCTAGTAAAAACAGAGACTGGTTGGAGGATTAGGTCTTATGAAGAAATAAAGAACAAATTGACAGGATGGATCCAATTTCACCAAATTAATTCTATATGGACTGAAGATAAAAAGAATGGGATAAGTGAGAAAAAAAATCTAGATTCCAGATTGAAATATTAGAAAACAAAACCAAAACTCCTATCGAAAATGTACAGCCTGTTACTTGAATGGGACACCAAGGATGAAGAAAGTAAGGAGGTAATGGTGAGATGGACAATGGACTTCGGACATAATATAGAGTTTGACAAATGGAAGGCATTATGGAACAAGGTATGAGATTCTCGGCATGCACAACACTCAGGGAAGTAAATATGGTAGTAAGCGTAGGATGAAAGCAATACGGTAAAATACGCTAGGGCTCAAAGAGCCTGTATAAATATAAATCTTGTTAACAGAGTTGGGAAGGAAAATATCCATATAAAAGAAGGCGTAAAAGCGTGACGATTGTCAAAACGTGAAGGAAGTCTAAAAGGGATACGAGTGGCGATATAACGAGGTGTCTTAGAAGTTTGTTTTTGTCTGTATGTTGTACTCTGTATATTATTTTTCTCTCTTTTTTTTGTTTTTTCTTTCTTCTGTTCTTTGTTCTGTTTTAAAAATTTCAATAAAAATTTAGAAAAAAAAAAAAAAATTGGAAAAAATATATAAAACTGGTGATAAATTATGTTGGAAGTGTAAGATCAAGGAGGGCGATTTTTATCATATGTGGTGGTTGTGTGAGCCTATCAAAAAATTCTGGGAATCTATTTACAATGAACTAAAAAAAATATTTAAATATACCTTTATAAAAAACCCCGAAGCCTTTTTGCTGGGGATAATTGGAGAGGAAATCAAAAAGGAAGATCAAACACTTCAGTACGCGACAGTGGCTGCTAGAACTCTAATAGCGCAGAATTGGAAGACATCAAAAATCCCAACTATAAACGAGTGGCAATCCAAACTATTTGATTATTTAGAATTGGCAAAAATGACACAGAAAATAAGAAATCAAAAAGACATAAAGTTTAACAAAGAATGGAATAAATTTATGACATACATGGAAACAGAGGTAAAAAATCTAAAAATCACAGTAGGTGTGACATAACACTTGTGATGTAAAGAGTTTTTTGAGGAAAAGAAACTGCAGATAAAAAATCATATAATATATTCTGAAACCAAGATGAAGGGAAGTCAATTAGTGTTGTGTGTTATTTAGTAAATGTAACCTAATTTGTTGGTATCTTATGTTAGGAGATGTTTTTTCTTTTGTTTTCTTTATTATTATTTCTCTTTTTTATATATTTCTTTTTTGTGTGTATGTGTTATGTATGTTTCTTTCGTTTGTTTTAATGTTTGATGTAGCAAAACGAATTAAAATCAATAAAAAACAAACAAACAAAGTTAAAGGCCCCCACAACTCCAGACTCCCCCTGGCACAAAACCAGATCCCAGAAGCCAGAACAGCCCTGCATAGGGGGATCTATCCAACTTCCCATCTCCAGTCCAAACGAGACTCCATCTCTCCAAATCTGACTTTCTCCAGATTCAGTCATCAAAAACAACAGCTTATGTTCCTGCAAAGCCGTGGCTCTCTCCACTTGTATTACTTGAGGTTCAACAACAACCTCCTCCTTTGTCTTCTGCACAACTTGCCCTGTCAAAGCAAATTCCTGGGTTGGTTCCTGAGTGGTTTCTATATAGGTATTCACTGTTTGTCCAAAATTATTAACTGCAACAGTCATCAAATCCATCTTCTCATGTAGCTGTTCCAATAAAGCGCTTGTCTTGCAAAAAGCAATCACTAAGGCTTCTTCTGTGCACATTCTTGTTCAAGGTCAATGTCTGGTTCTCACGATCTTTAATCTCTACAGCTGGAGAATTCCCCAGATCAACTCCAACAACAGTTTCAAAAGCTTCCTCTAGGGGAAACAATTTCTTTTTGTATCCGTCCTTCTAAAAGCAGATCCAGCAACAAAATTATTTTCGTTTTTCAAATATTTTGTTCCTTTTAAATGCAAAAGGAAACATTGGAATCAATATGTTTCTCTTTTTTAACTATCTGTCAACAAACGTTTTATTCACAGTCAATGAACTTTCCCAAAATGTCTGTCTTCCTGACACCCCGTTCCCAGGTTCAAGGCGGTGGAAATTTATCTTTCTTTATTCTCTCTCCTGCAGGCTTGAACAATCTAAGATTTCCCCCCTCTTCTCCTGCTTCCAAGGGGGGTTTAGTAGTTTTAACCGATGGAGATTTAGTCCTTCACAAAAGACTTTCCAGACTTTAGCTTGCAATGTCTTTGCTTCAATCTATTTACAAAAGCGGAAGGCAGACTTCCTGTTTAGAACCTTCCCACTTCGGTGCCAAATTAAGATGTTTCATAGTCCAATTTTCCATTCTACTCATGGGCAGTTGTTTAAAATCCAATTGTCCACAGGAAAAAGTCAGCGCTTTCCGGCAACAGCAATGCGGCTTCACTCTGTGAAAAGAGCAGTCGATTCGAAGCACCGTGCCGCTCACCCCACGTCGCTCCGGATCCCCGAAACCAGGTTTCCCTGTGAGTAGGGGAGGCGCAAAAGGTGCCAGCCGAATCCCACGTCCACAGGCTTCTCCCGCCTGTGGTTTTTAGTGGGTCTCCGCCTCGCCGTGGCAGTCCAGACCCTAATTTCCATGAAGCAGATTCCTCCTGATCAGAGGAAATCCGCCATTGCCGGAGGCGCTAACCCGGAAGTTATAATAAGTGGTTCTCAACCTTTCCCCAAGCCATGCTCCATCTAAGCATCTCTAAAATCTTGAGGCCCTCCTCCGTGTGACATATACTTTTTATTATTCAAAAAGTGAATTCCTGTTTGCTTGGAGGAAGCCTAAAAGAGCATTAACTGTTCATAATTCATTCTCAAACTGCCCCCCTTAAAAATCAAATTGCCCCCCTGTGCCCCACGTTGGGAACCACGGAACTAGAAGAATTAAGAGATGCAATTATGGTAAATTGGGTAATTCTGGTGTAGTTCATGGGTCACTCATAAACTGTAGTTCTTCTGGGACTCTACAAAAGAAAACAAGTTGCTTTTTGTTCAGGTCTCAGCAAGATTTTCCTGAGCGGGATGGCAAGGTATTTATTATGAGTCAAATATATGTGTTCCTGTGCATATTTGCAAAATTTCTGAATATATTAAGGCAGGGTCAAAAAGTTTGTATCCAGTGGATGAGTTTGCATCCCTTATCACTCTTCCCAATCCACTCAAGTAGATCTAACAGAACTATTGAAGAACTATTATCAGCAGGCAGGGGGGATTTTATATTGTGATGTGGAATATTGGGTGTGTAGATAATTGGTGGTGGGTTGAGAAATTATATGTCAGTTAATAACCTAACAAAATACTCCTTTTGGTTTCACAATGATTACATTGCTGTCAGGACCATGGAGAGTAGTGGAAACGAATGAGTTGCCATGTGTCTGGATAAATCATGGTCGACTGAGATATGATGAACCAGGACCAAACTTAAATATGGAACTCAGTTTATATTAACTTCATGTGTTCAATTAATTAATATCCAACTGACAATGATCTGGAAAGAAGTATTTCCAGTGACAAAGAATTGCCTGGACCATTGAGTCACTCTTGTCAGTTCTTAATTCTTTATTCTAATTAACTGCTCCCTGCTGTTCAGCTTAGGCCTCAGTAAAATAACATAGCATTTGGGGGTAAAGATGCAACCCAGTAACCCAAAACTGGAGGCCAAGATGGAGAAGATCTCCACAGCCACCATGTATTTGCCCTTGGTGCTCAAGTAGGTTGGAACAAAGGAGAGCCACACACTGCAAAAGACCAACATGCTGAAGGTGATGAATTTGGCTTCATTGAAACTGTCCGGCAACTTTCTAGCTAGGAAAGCCACCGTGAAGCTCACAATGGCCAGCCAACCCATGAATCCCAGGACACAATAAAACATAAGAGTGGAGCCTTCATTACATTCTAGTATTATTTCTTCAGTCCTTGAGTGCATGTCAACGTCTGGGAAAGGAGGAGAAGTTGCCAGCCATATGCTACAGATTGTGGCTTGAATAAGGGAGCAGGAAAGAACAATGGAGCTGGCCAATGGTTTCCCCAGCCACTTCCTCATGCTGGAGCCAGGCTTGGTGGCCATGAAAGCCAGAACCACAATGGCGGTTTTGGACAATATGCATGAAATGGCAACGGAGAAGATCATGCCAAAAGCAGTTTGCCGTAGGATGCATGTCAGCTTGTTAGGTTGGCCAATGAAGAGCAAAGCACAAAGGAAGGAGAGGAGAAGAGAGAGCAGGAGAGCGTAGGTGAGGTTCCTGTTGTTGGCTTTGACTAAGGGAGTCGCCTTGTGTTTCATGAATATTCCAAGCACTGCAGCTGTGATGGAAGAAAAGCAGACAGCAAAAGTGGCCAGGCTGATCCCCAACGGTTCTCCATAAGACAAGAAAGTTTTATCTTTTGGAAGGCATCCATTCTTGTCACTGTTTGGATACTGATCTTCAGAGCATTCAAAACAGTCATCCATGTCTGAAAAAGAAAAAAGAAAAATGCTATACTGTACTTGTGAAGCGTTTTGTGCCCAGAAGAAATCAAGGCAAATGGCCAGAAAACCTTGAATGATGGCTGCTAGATCAGTACTGGTAAAATATATATAGGTGTTTGGCCCAATTATTTCTATATACAAGAGGGCTGTATTTACTTAGGATTCCAGAGCAATGCAGGTCTTCACTACAATTGGAAGAAGAGAAGTTCATCACCTGGATATCACCAATCATAAGTTCTCCGTTTCCATCATCTCCTGCTATGCTGAAATCCTTACCTCTGCATTCCATGAGCATATGAGACTATGCTCCAAAACAGGTACATCTTACTGGTATAATAATATAATAATAATAAATTTTATTTATATCCCGCCCTCCCCAGCCGAAGCCGGGCTCAGGGCGGCTAACAACAACCAAATAATCAAACAATCAAATAATCACACATTCTAAAAATATTTCATTATAAAAATTAATTAAAATCAAATTGATGGCAACCGATTAAGCAAAAGTCTGTGCAGGTTGCCAGAGGAGGGAGTCAGGCTGCGCCCTGACCAAAGGCCTGGCGGAACAACTCTGTCTTGCAGGCCCTGCGGAAAGATGTCAGGTCCCGCAGGGCCCTAGTCTTTTGTGACAGAGCATTCCACCAGATTGGAGCCGCAGCCGAGAAGGCCCTGGCTCTAGTTGAGGCCAGCCTAACCTCTCTGAGGCCTGGGACCTTGAGGATGTTATTATTTGCAGACCGTAGGTTTCTCTGTGGGGCATACCAGGAGAGGCGGTCCCATAGGTACGAGGGTCCTAGGCCGTATAGGGCTTTAAAGGTTAAGACCAGCACCTTAAACCTGATCCTGTACTCCACCGGGAGCCAGTGCAGCTGGTATAGTACCGGATGAATGTGAATCTCGCAGCGAAGACCCCATAAGGAGTCTCGCCGTGGCATTCTGCATCCGCTGGAGTTTCTGGGTCAGTCTCAAGGGCAGCCCCACGTAGAGCGAGTTACAATAATCCAGTCTGGAGGTGACCGTCGCATGGATCACAGTGGCTAGGTCAGGGCGAGAGAGATAAGGGGCCAACTGCTTAGCTTGGCGGAGATGAAAAATGCCGCCTTTGTTATAGCTGTAATCTGCGCCTCCATAGAGAGGGAGGTATCGAAGATTACACCCAAACTCTTAACGGATGGTACTGGCACTAATTGCACCCCCGCAAGAGATGGGAGTTGCCCCCTCGATCCCAAATCGTCCCGCCCCAGCCAGAGGACCTCTGTCTTCGAAGGATTTAACTTCAACCGGCTCCCACGTAACCATCCAGCCACAGCTTCCAGACATCTGGTCAGTGTGTCTGGGGCCGAGTCAGGATGGCCATCCATCAACAGATAGAGTTGGGTGTCATCAGCATACTGATGGCAACCCAGCCCAAAACTCCGGACAAGCTGGGTGAGGGGGCACATAAAGATGTTAAAAAGCATTGGGGAGAGAATCGCACCCTGAGGCACTCCACACACCAAGGAGTGGCGCGATGACAATTCCCCCCCAAGCGCCACCCTCTGTCCCCGACCAGAGAGAAACGAGCGCAGCCATTGAAGGACTGTGCCCTGGATCCCCACGTCGGCAAGGCGGTGGACCAGGAGTTCGTGATCGACCATGTCAAAGGCTGCTGACAGATCTAGAAGAATCAGCAGCCCCGACCCGCCTCGATCCAGCTGCCTGCGGAGATCATCTGTTAGGGCGACCAGAGCCGTCTCGGTCCCATGACCAGCGCAGAAGCCGGACTGGAATGGATCCAAAGCAGATGTTTCATCCAGAAACCTACCAAGCTGTTCAGCAACCGCTCTCTCAATCACCTTACCCAGGAATGGAAGATTCGAGACCGGGCGGTAATTGGATAGATCTGAGGGATCTAATGATGTTTTCTTTAAGAGCGGACGCACCACCGCCTCCTTCAGTCCCCCTGGGAATATCCCGGTGCCAAGGGACAAATTGATGATATCCCCCAGGGGGGCCCGCACCTCGTCTGGACACGCTCTAATCAGCCATGACGGGCACGGGTCAAGAGGACAGGTGGTGGGCTTTCCAGCTTGGAGGAATCTGTCCACATCGGCTGGAGATATCCGGTCAAAGTGGTCCAATACTGGACCCGAGGACAGTCGAGGGGCCTCCAGTTCCTTTATTGTATCCAAATTGGCAGGGAGGTCATGGCGGAGCAACAGGACCTTCTCCGCAAAAAAGCTCGCAAATGCCTCACAGCTGTGTGTCAGATTGTTATTTAAATTTGGCTGTCCTTCAAGGGACGTTAAAGACCGAATTATACTAAATAATTGCGCCGGGCGAGAGCTAGCGGATGCAATGGAGGCCGAGAAGTAAGACTTCTTAGCGGCCTTCACTGCCATCTCATAGGTTTTCATAAAAACCCTATAAGATGTTCTTGAGGCTCCGTCACGGGCACCCTGCCATATTCGCTCTAGCCGTCTGAGGTCCCGCTTCATTTTCTGAAGCTCCTCGGTAAACCAGGGAGCCCGGTTTCTGCGGGGTCTCAGAGGGCGCTTAGGTGCGATCTCATCTATGGCTGCCAGGAGCTGGGTATTCCAGCCCTCAACAAGCTCAGTCAATGAGTCGCCAGGGGGAGCAAGGTCCCGCAAGGCTTGACGGAATCTATCAGGGTCCATCAGCCTCTGCGGGCGAGCCCAAATCGGCTCGCCACCTAAGCAGGGTGGGGGTGGAAAGTCAATCCTGGCTTTCAGAGCGTAGTGATCAGACCATGGCACCTTCATTGAAGGAGACATGATCACATCTATACCGGCACCAAAGATCAAATCCAGCGTGTGGCCTGCTTGATGTGTGGGGCCCGAAACAAACTGGGAGAGCCCTAGTGTCGCCATGGAAGACACCAGGTCCAGAGCCTGTGAGGAGGGAGTGGCATCAGCGTGGAAGTTGAAGTCTCCCAATACCAATAGCTTAGGGAACTCCAAGGCCCAGCCAGCCACCGTCTCCAGCAGGCCTGACAGGGTGGCTGCTGGTGCGCTAGGTGGCCGGTACACCAGCCAGACAGCCAAGCTCTCCTCGGAGCCCCACACTAGGCCAACACATTCAATGCCGGGGATCGATGGCGATGGTAGAGCCCTGAAAGAACAATCTTCCTGGATTAATACTGCCACCCCTCCCCCCCGGCCCACAGTCCGTGACTGGTGGAGGACGGAGAAACCCGGGGGCGCCATCTCTCGTAAGGTAACAGTTACCCCTTCGCGCACCCAGGTCTCCGTCACACAAGCCAAGTCGACCCCCTGCGAGGTAAAGAAATCTCGCAGGGTAGCGGTTTTGTTGCCTATAGACCTGGCATTGCACAACACCAGTGAAGGAGGTGAGTAATCCTTGCTCACCCTACCCTCGTCTCTCGGGATGGGGCGCAGATTGGAAGGGGTACGAGCATATCCGTATCTCGATCCCGTTCGCCTATAACATCTGCCCCCACCGCCATACCTCCCTCGCCCCTCCACGGTAGCAATCCCAAGCCTCATACTAACCTCCATTTATAAAATAGAAAACAAAACAACCAAAAACAATTATGCCCAAACAAAACCAATCCCCAAAACAAAACAAAGCGGAACAAAACAAAAATACATAGATAAAAACCACCATTCACGGTGGTACAACAAAGTAAACAATAAAAACACATTTAAAACACCTTAAAATATATATAAACATGTTTAACATATGCTGCCGCAGCACCAGTCTCCTTAAAGCTATTACGGGGGTGAGCCTGGGCCCCGCCCCCTATGCCGGATGGAATTAGCCTAAGGAGGGAGAGGCCTTCTCCAACACTCACGATGCAGCAGCAGCGATGTCCCAGGCCTCAATGAGGCTCTTACAGCTGTGGCGAAGGTGAGGCTGGGCCCCGCACCCTAGGCCGGATGGAGTTAGCCTGAGGAGGGAGAGGCCTTCTCCAACACTCCAACACTCACGATGCAGCAGCATTGTACACCATTCTCTTTCCTTCCTTCTCTACTTATTTTAATTTTCATGTACTGGATCATTCTTGACAATTCTTATGACTAGTATACCCCAAAAATAAAAAATCTCCGACCCTTCTGATCCGAAATCTTCCCTTCTGGGCACGGGATGCAATCATAGCAGCAAGGCAGCTTCCCTTCCTTCTTGGTCCGACTGTAGCCCAATTGGCAATTCTCATTGCACAGAGAAAGGGGTTGTGCCTGTCCAAAAAGGAAAGAAGATGGTAATTTCTGACTTAAACATGCCGCACCTGTTCTTCAGATTGGGCCAAATTTACTTCCCTGTTTCCCACACTGGCAGGAAGTCTGAAGTGCCAATCAGATCAGGATGACCATTCACATCCCAAGGAGCTGCTGCCCTTGGTTCTTCTGTTGTTTGCTTCACAGCAATTGCCCTCCCACTGTCTGATACTGAATGTCCCCTGCTGAACACTGAGCAGGCCACAAATACCCTGAACCCACTTTTATGGGGCCTTTAAGAACTTTGGCTCACACCTCACCCTTAGGTTCTGGGGTGCTTCTGCTCTTCATTTATTTATTTTTACTGATTGATTTTATATTGAATAAATACATAAGTTGCCAAAGTTTCCTGGTTTTGTGTGTCTTGCTTTCTTCTCACAATTATATGTTTCAGACTTTAGGTGATGAAATTTGCTTTGTCACTTCCTAACCATGTAAGTTTTTTAGCTGTGGGCTCCTTTGAATATTATCTGAGAATCTCAGCGGTCCAAACAAGGTATTGTTATGTTATGCTACAGCAATGTTTGGGGTAACAATGAAGAACAGTGAGGAGGTTCTTCTGTACTTTGTTAAATTCAGTTATTAATAAGCCCACCTATCCAACTTCTTTCTATATCACATTTTGCCATTTTAAGCTTCCCACTGCCTGTGCTGTTTTCAGTTGAATGTTGGTTCCCTGTCTTCTTCAGGAGGTGAGTTAAATCACAACTAGTTGCATCTTGGAATAGCTGTTTCAGAGTTTGAATAGTGGACCCCCTTTTTATTAGCATTGAGGAAATGTCTGGGGACACTCTGAAATGGACCTTACCTGGTTGAACCTGATGGGCCATGTGATGGTATCATCATGAATGGAGAGTCTCTTGCTTGGGGGAGCCTGGGGGTTCATCATTCCGACCTTAACTCTGAAAAAGGAGTCATTTGGGAATGTGATCCAGTTGATGATATCCAATTCAGTTACCAAATCCCCCTTCTGGCTAAATGAAACCTCTTTCCCGGCACTATTGTTAAATGAGATGCCTCTCAGAAAGTGGTGGAGCTAAATTAGTGAAGAGAAGAGGGAAGAAATCCATGAGGGTATTAGAAAGAGACAGATGTATAACAGGATGATATTATTTCCCTCCAGTTGTTGGCATTTGTTTGTCTCGAGAACAATGGAGTGTGGCTCCAGGGGTGAGGTCAACCCGCTGTGTTAGCAGCACTGAAGTGACCTCCCCAGGGTGCAAGCCTGGACAGTCCTGGGCTGCCCAGAGGACAAGGCTCCCCTCTCAGTCTTGCTGATGTGGTCGAAAGGAAAGCAGAGCAGGACGTTTGGCACCAGCTTGGTTTCAGGGGTTGCCAGAAGGAAGCATAGAAAATAACATCCATCCGCCTTAGAAACTCCACTCTGGATCTGTGTAGGGCTTACTTTTTAGCCTTTTATTCTCTGGAAGATATCCCAGAAGGTAGCAGAGGTGGAGAACATTCATTTCAACTCTGCACAAGGTCAAGATCACGGATTCTGTTCACAGTAATTCTAACAGCTCATCCACACCATACATTTAAAGAACTGTTGGTACAGTCATGGTTTCCCCCAGAGAATTATGGAAAGGAAAGTTGCTTAAAGGAGTTGAGAGTTGTGAGGAGACCATCAAGAAACTACTGTTCGCAAGATTCCTTGGTGGAAGCCATGGCTCTTAAAGTGAAACAAGAGTGCTTTAATGTTGCAGATTTGCCCCATGTGTTTTAAAATGAAAGATATAGCAGTCCTATCACATTTCTATGCTGAAAGATGAGGGTAAGAAGAAAAAGAAAAAAATATGGTGCTGGAGGAGACTCTTGAGAGACCCATGGACTGCAAGAAGATCCAACCTATCCATTCTGAAGGAAATCAGCCCTGAGCGCTCACTGGAAGGACAGATCCTGAAGCTGAGGCTCCAATACTTTGGTTACCTCATGAGAAGAGAAGACTCCCTGGAAAAGACCCTGATGTTGGGAAAGGGCACAAGGAGAAGGGGACGACAGAGGACGAGATGGTGGGATAGTGTTCTCAAAGCTACCAACATGAGTTTGACCAAACTGCGGGAGGCAGTGGAAGACAGGAGTGCCTGGCGTGCTCTGGTCCAGGGGGTCACGAAGAGTCGGACATGACTAAACAACAACAAGAAAAAGAGCTTTCTAAACAGTCAAGGAACTATTTTTGCACCCTGAAAGATGGCAAACTATTCTATATTAGCAATAGAGGGACATTACCTGCCATGGCTGTGGATCCAGCCTAGTCCCTCTTAGTTCATCCATCATTACACTGTGTTTGAATCTGGAGAAATGCATGTTTTGTAAAGCATGTGCCACTGCCAAGACTGCATTGTAGATGCTGTAGCTGTGGGCAGTCATGCTCCTTTCAAAGACAGACCCAGGAAGAGTCTCAAGCTTCTCTGTCCCAGTGCAGAGATCATTGTCTTTCTTTTCAAAAGAACAAAGAAATGCCTTTTCCCAGAAAGTTCTGATGAAGCCATCCTCCCTTTCTGTGACAGGGTTTCTCTTTTGAAGAAATTTCTGGAATCCTAGATGATTAGCTGAATGAACTGCAAACGAAATGGCACCATGGAGAAAGCGTATGTCCCAATTTCTTTGAAAGGAAAACGATGTAAAATCCATCTGGGCAGTCATAATCCAGACTTTTGCCTTGATTTCCACAGGCATATTCATTGTTTCTGCCAAGGTGGGCATTACTCTCAGTGCCATCATGGTGTGAATTTCACCAATCACAACCACGACATTGGCGGTGCTGCCCATAATAACACTGATTATTTTAGAACCTTCTTCCACCATTTCCATAGACTCACCTGAAAAGGTTAGTTTGGGAAATGTTTCTGTATAATCACAGCAAATACCTCTTGCGGCAAACATGGGAAGGACGTTTTGTACAAATCTCTCTCCATTGTCATCACTCAGAGTCACCACTCCAATCCACATCCAGCTGAAATGCAGCAGTAGCTGGAGAATCCCATTATACTGATGAGCCACATCAGGGAACATTCGGTGAAAGAACTCTTCTTGGATGTGGTTACTCAGCATAGGAGAAGAGCCATAGATGAACTGAAAATGATTGTAAAAATTATGCTTGCAAATTCCATCCACTTTGGTGTTTTTATATACCCTCTTATGGTGAATGAACACAGATGAGACTGCACAGAGAAAATTTAATTTTTAAAAAACAAAACACACACATAAAAGTTGAATATTGGGGCCCTATATGGAGTGGCTAGATTTCTTGAAATACTTCAATTTATACATTTTTTTTTGCTCAGACACCCATAGAGTCTAAGGTCTTTGCTGCCCTTATATTTTCAATAAAGGGAAAGGCACTGCAAGGGTCACATCTCCCTTAAATTTCTTATGCGAATGTCACCATCAGAACATATAAGCAAACAGTATCAGACATGTGAACACACAGAATAAAGAGCAAATATAGCTAGTTTTTGTTGAAGAATCCATAGGACAGCTCTTTGAACCATAAATTGGGGGAAAATAAAATTAAAATGCATTTGTAAAGGCCACTGAGCCCAATCAAGCAATGATGATTTTTGATGACTGGACTGCATCTGAACCTCAATCATGGATTCTGTGCTGGAATGCTTAAATATTGGAGAGGAGGGAATTAGCCTTCCCTGCACTGAGAAATCAAACATGTCATGCAGAATTCAAGACAGAATGGTTGTTCCTTGTATTCTGGTGTATTATGTGCAGGGATGAGTTTTGTTCATTGTGAGTCATTCACACTTTGTAATATCAACCTGGGGCCTTAAGGGATAGAATCCAATAGAAGTGTGAATAGCATCCTAAATGGCCACACTCAATGCACACATCTCTGTGAACCCCTCAACCATGAAAAGATGCAGTGCAGGAGAAACATGAATGGCTTCTCCAATGGCTCTCTTACCTGTGGCATCTTGTAGATACTCAGGACCGTTGCCATGTGGAGACAGATGTCAGAATTTGGTCCCCCGATGACGGCTACTGGACTGTTCTCAACACCACACTTATAGTTGGGGATGAGTCTGCCCCATCCAGACAGCAGCTCCATGGAGCCATGATAGGTCCAGCTTGCAACGAAATGGCTGTTCAAGATGTGGAATCCCAGGGTGACATTGGGCAAGATCTGTGGGTTGTCATTGATCTCCTTTGCAGCAAATACCAAAGCCACAATGTGCTGGTAGAGTTGTGTCATGAGCCTGCAATGAGAGGTCCATTTTGCATCTTCTATAGAAAAGGACATTGTCTACATATCTACTTATCTCTCTAATGAGGGGAAAATACATCAGATGAGAACAGACATTTAGCCTTGAATCCCATATTATTTTTTGAATCTGTTAAGAAATATTTCTATCATGTCAATCCAGAGAAGCTTCTTCTGATTCTTGCCTTGCTCAAGTTCCATGCAATATTTCAAATGCATAGAATAGGCTTCAATTATACTTCACACCACCTTCCACTCCAAATTCAGGGTGATCTACAATAGATCTAGCACTCCCAATAAGATGCTAAGTTGGGGTTTTGAAATTCCATGCGTTACTCCCTTGATCCCCTGCCCCCAGGGCCCTATGGCCTGCAAGAAGGAGCATCTCTGTTTGAACAATCTAAGCTTGATTACTACTACAACTACAAATGCTGATAAATCAGCACAGGTGATTCAGGTGAAGTGTTCACATCCTTGATTTTGCATAATACTAACAAGGCATCTTGAATTGGATCTGATAGTTCCTCAGTGAACTCAGATGCCTGGAAACTTAAAGCAACAACTTTTATCAGAAGAGAAGCAGCCTGAGATTGAGTTGAAGAGGGGATTTGTTCTTCTGTTTTGACAGCCAAGTCTGGTATTAATCACAGATCAGTAATATTTTTTAAACTATGCTTGTTTTATTTCTTAAAGTGAATATTTGTTGCTTTTCAACCACTACCTCTTACCATATGCACATTATGAAAAGATCTCTCTTTTCCATGAACAAACATTTGTATCCCCATTCGGCGGGGGGCAGAAACACCCCACAACAATGTCCTGGCTGCAAGGGTAATATTTTCCCCACACCCCTCTTTCCTTGGATCACATAATCCTCTTTCCACGCTGCCTTTCCCTGTGCCAGTTAATGGAGAGGTCACTCTCCCGGGGAAAAGAGGCAATATCCCAAAAAACTGGATGGAGAGGAAGAAAAGCCCAGCCCTTCTTCCCTTGATAATGGGTCCTCATTGGAAGGGTAAGATTTAATTCACATCATTTATCCTGGGCATCTAGGTTACTATTTCCATCACTCACCTTCCCCTTTGCAAGTCAGTGGAGTGATCTGCCTAACCCACCACAACCTTTGGGATACCAAGGCCATTTCTGGCAGGCTGAGATTTTCCCCGCCTTATTCTTTCCTGAGGGTGCATAATCTGTTTTCAGCCTCCACCCCTGTCCCCACAATTCCTATTGTGTCCACCTCAAGTCCGCTCAGGCAGGAGAACCACTGCAGGAATCATTCTGAAATATGACAGAACTTGTTCCTTAGAGGAGGTGAGCACGCCTACAAATTGCTTCCAAATTATAGCAGGTTGGACAAATTCTATGATGCACAAGAGAAAATAAATACATCTGCCATTGCTACTATTCAAGGTGGAAATGTGGTAAACTGGACTTGCTTCACGAACATTAATTTAAGACTATGGTAGACACTCTTAGCAGAAATGGGCTCGAGCTCTCAGGTCCCCACTTCCCCGCCCCAGAAAAAAGCACATCAAATGCAGAAGCACAATAATTACTTATAAGGAAAGCCGATTGCACCAACAGCAAAATATGAATACATTTAATATGGATGTATTATATTGTTAAATAAACACAATTCCTTACATCGGGTCATCAAAGAGTTTAGCAGAGGGACGTTCTTTGAATGTTATCTTGTTTATGAATGTATAGACCTGAGACATGATGCCAGCAATCATGAGGTCTCCTGACTGATAATATTTGTGAAGAATGGGAAGAGGGTCACTGGTGGGGCACTGAACCAAAGGAATATTGCATGTAGTTAGAGGCAGCAGTATTAATAGTAAGATCACAAACACTAACATCTTGCAGGAAAACTCTTTACTGCAAAGGACACTTCATCTCTTTGTAATGCAAGAGTCCCTGCCTTAAATTAGTAACTCCAGCAGCTTAAATTAGTACTCCAGCAGCTGATTTGAAGAAGGCAGAACTGAAGAATCAGTAACCAGATGAAAGAGCCTTGCATTTCCATAGCCTTAGTTTACATTTTGAATGTGCCCACTTGAACTCTCCTGGGTTGGGGAAATATAGCTGTGATTATGATTAATTTGATAATTACAGGAGACATAACTTAAGGCAGCTGTTGTTTATGACTCACTCATCATTGTTAAAGAAATCATGTCCCCCCCCCCAATAGCAAATGTCTTCTTTGATCCTGCTCAAAGTTATAGAGAATCACAGGAGAGAGGGAAAAATAGAAGATTTGTACTCCCATGGAAATGGAAAAACTTTTGCACTTTCCTCAATGTGTGATGGAGGTGGGCAAGGCTATATGTCAAATTAGAAGAGGCTTGGGGTGGTCTTCAATATTCATCCTACTCAGAGTAGATCTACTGAATTTAATGAGCATGACTAACTTAGGTTAAATACAAAAAATTCCTTCCAGTAGCACCTTAAAGACCAACTAAGTTAGTTCTTGGTATGAGCTTTCGTGTGCATGCACACTTCTTCAGATACACTGAAACAGGACACTGTTGGCATTATAGAGAGCTGAAGTGTCCTTCAGCTGTCTATATTGGACAAACAGGCCAAACCTTACGCCAAAGAATAAACGGACATAAATCTGACATCAAGAATCACAAGACAGAGAAACCAGTAGGAGAACACTTCAATCTCCCAGGACATTCTATACAAGATCTCAAAGTAGCTGTTTTACTACAAAGGAATTTCAGAAATAGACTGGAAAGAGAAGCTGCTGAATTGCAACTCATTACCAAACTTAAAACCATGGAGAGACCTGGTCTGAACAAAGACATTGGATTCTTATCTCATTATACATGACAAAGCCATTTTTCACCTTCTCACCCCTTGCTTTTTCCTGTAAGACCTATTGCAGTCGTTAAGAGTCATCAACAGGCTCATCACAGCTATCTGCCAATCACCCATTCCCACCACCCTTCTGAGTAATACCCCTCCCCACCTTCTCACTATATAGAAGGATCTGGCAACTTCTGTTTCAGTGTATCTGAAGAAGTGTGCATGCACATGAAAGCTCATACCAAGAACTAACTTAGTTGGTCTTTAAAGTGCTACTGGAAGGAATTTTTTTTGTTTTGACTATGGCAGACCAACACGGCTACCTATCTGTAACTTAGGTTAAATAATTCAGAATTTAGTTGAATGCACCCCTTGGTCTCCACCTTTTACAAGAGCAGCAGTTTAGGCCAGTCTTAGCCCAGCCTCTTTAGAGTAGGGTGCCTTGCATAAATCTAGTCAGTTGCAGTCACTTTCTGGAAATGGCACCTTTTATGTATTTATGCATATTTAGTTCATGTATATTGAGTGGTTAAAATAAAATTCACTTAATGCCTCTTAGTGTCCCTGTTTAAACTTTAGAAAATATCTGAAGGCAGCCCTGTATAGGAAAACTTTTAAATGTTTTATTATGTTTTTATATATGTTGGAAGCGACCCAGAGTCAGCCTAGTCAGATGTGCAGGCTATTATTATTATTCGGGTCAGAAATATGGGGTGTTGGGGGAGGGGAAGTACCTCTGGTGGGGGGACATATCATGCTCCTTCTGGTGTAGTTGTTCTACCTTTCCCTCCACCCTACACTCAGCGCTTGCCTGTGGCTCCTAGAAGCTGTGAGTATGCGACAGCAGCCACACTCTGGGAATGGCTTTGACTGGCCAGCTAAACTTGATGAGGGTAGCTGATGGGTGTCAAACCACTGATGAGTTAGGGACTTATCCTGCATGCAAAGACAGGCTCTGGTGGATTGAGTGGATGAGAACAATAGTTTTTCTTCTGTGAAAGACCTACACTGGCTCCCAGTACGTTTCTGAGCACAATTCAAAGTGTTGGTGCTGACCTTTAAAGCCCTAAACAGCCTTGGTCCTGTATACCTGAAGGAGCATCTCCACCTCCATCGTTCTGCCCAGACACTGAGGTCCAACGCTGAGGGCCTTCTGGCAGTTCCCTCGCTGCGAGTAGCCAAGTTACAGGGAACCAGGCAGAGGGCCTTCTAGGTGATGGCACCCGCCCTGTGGAACAGCCTCCCAACAGATGTCAAAGAGAAAAATAACTACCAAACTTTTAGAAGACATCTGAAGGCAGCCCTGTTTAGGGAAGCTTTTAAGGTTTAATAGGTTATTGTATTTTAGTGTTTTGTTGGAAGCCGCCCAGAGTGGCTGGAGAAACCCAGCCAGATGAGCGGGGTAAAAATAATAAATTATTATTATTATTATTATAACTATCCCTCTCAGTTTGCTGTCATCTGCAAATTGGATGAGCCTCAATTGCTTCATCCAAGTTGTTTATAAAGATGTTGCAGCCTGCAGCCCCCACTTGACACTTTTTCTCAGAATGACAAGCAACCATTAATGAGTCCTCTTTGGGTTCAGTCAGACAACCAGCTACAAATCCATCTAACAGTTCCCTCATTCAACCCACAGTTTACCATCTTCCTCGCAAAAACATCGTGGGGGACTTTGTCAAAAGCCTTTCTGAAATCAAGATACACTATGTCCACAGCATTCCCCTGATCCACCAAGCATGTAACTCCGTCAAAAAAACTAAGAAATGAGATTCATCTGACGTGCTTATTTTTGAGAAACCCATGCTGGGTCCTGGTAATCACAGAGACTCTCCTCCTGGAAGAGAGGGGAGTGGTTGTGGGTGGGAGCCCGAGCTCCACCTCTAGCAGGGGGCGTTAGCCCCCTGCCTTCCACTCACCTGGCTGGCGCCCATGCCCACCGGCAGGCACCCAACCAGGTGCCTCCGAGGGGGCGTGTACAGCAGTCTAAATGCTGCGGCGCCAGCCCCTCCTCGGCCTCACTCTTTGTCGACCCGTCGCGAGTCACCCACCCTCCACTCCCTTTTAGCTCAGGGTCTTTGTTTCCTTGGCCTTGCTATGGACCTTAGCTTGGTCGGCCTGGTAGGAATTTTTCCATTTGGCATTAGGCCTTTTGGTTTTTTCGCCTAGCTCGTAGCAATTGTCACAACTTTCGTGGTATTGGTGGGTAGGTTAGGCATTGGAATAATGTGTTGTGGTGTGTCGAAGGGCTAGGTGTGGCCATCGCCTATGCCTTCAATTTTTGGGTATTCCATTAAAGGAATCTGGCGGTCGTGTATTCTGTCCGATGCCTGCATGGCACGACCCTCGGTGACATCAGGGGAGAGCCTATAGTTGGATTAGCATCAACAGGCTCCACCTACTGGTGAATAAACCCCCCTTGTTTTTTAGACTCACCCCTCTCCGAGTGGGTGGAGTCAGCTGACGTAATCCAATGCCTAAGCCAATACCTTTTCATTTGCTGTAATCAATAAAGTTGTGGCCTTTTCTTGCCCATTAACCTTATATCACGTGTCCTTGTGTATTCATTCCACTTTGGGGGGATCGGGTCCTCGAACCACAACATCCTTTTTAAGTGCTCACAGACTGACTGTTTCATTGTGTGTTCTAGGAGCCTTCCTGGTTTTGATGTCAAGCTCACCATTCGGTAATTACCCGGGTCTTCTTGTTCCCTCTTTTGAAGATAGGAACAACATTTGCCTACCTTCAGTCTGCAGAGACCTCACCTATTCTCCAAGAATTCTCAAAGATCCTAGACAAAGGCTCTGAAATTACACCTGCAAGCTCCTTTAGTAACCTTGCAGTTCATCAGGCCCTGGAGATCTGAATTTATTTAAAATAGCTAGCTGCTCCCTTACCTCTTCTTTTCCTTTTTTTTAACGTCTTTTTATTAGTTTCAATTCACTATACAACACCAAACAATAATAGAACAAAAGAGAAAGAAAAAGACAAAACATTACATAACAAAAAAAAAAACCAAAAAAAAACCAAACCCACACACACACACACACACACACACACACACACACACACACCAACAAACCAAACATACAGTAACTAAACAACACATCAATAATTGACTTCCCTTCAACTCGGTTTTGGACTATATTACAAAAGGTTTTCTTTCTGCAGTTTCACTTTCTTAACCTCTACACGTTGCAGGAGCTATATCGAGCCTACTGTGATTTTTAAATTTCTTACATCTGCTTCAATATATGTCATAAATTTATTCCATTCATTAATAAACTTTGTACCTTTTTGGTTTTTTGTGTCATTTTTGCCAGTTCTACATATTCAAATAATTTAGTTTGCCAATCTTTTACAGTTGGAGTGTTTGGTGTCTTCCAATTTTGTGCTATCAGTATTCTAGCAGCTGCTGTTGCATATTGGAATAATATCTGGTCTTCCTTTTTAATTTCTTCTCCAATTATCCCCAAAAGGAAGGCCTCAGGGTTTTTTTTTATAAAGGTATATTTAAATATTTTTTTTAATTCATTATAAATAAATTCCCAAAACTTTTTAATTACCTCACAGGTCCACCACATGTGGTAAAGATTGTCTTCCTTGATTTTACATTTCCAACATGTTTTGTCTCCGGTTTTGTACATTTTCCCCAATTTTACAGGAGTAATGTACCACCTGTACATCATTTTTTCCATGTTCTCTCTAAGTGCTATACAAGCTGAAAATTTCATACCTTTATTCCAAAGTTTCCTCCAACTATCACACTCTAAGTTGTATCCAAAATCTATTGCCCATTTCACCATTACTTCTTTTATCTCTTCATCTTTGGTATCCCATTCTAGCAACTGGTTATACATTTTGGATAGAATTTTTGATTTGCCTTCCAATATTTCTACCTGATATCTGGATTTTTTTTTTCATTCATCCCGATCTTTTTGTCTTCAGTCCACAGAGC